CACTTGAAACATCACATTTTTCATCTGATAATAGATTAAACATACAAACACATCAACCTGCTTCCCAAATACGTGTAGAAAATTCTAAAAATATGCAGCTTTCTCCTACAATACGTTCTCATTGTAATTCTAATATTGTGTCTCAAAAAGCAGAGATTCCATCAAAAACAAATTTTTCTTGCGTACCACATATCAAAAAGAGTAATATTAATATTCAAAGTCAAGAAAGTTCGGCAGAATGTGTTCGTAGCATCCGGGATAATAATAATTTTGAACAGAATACCGATTTGTCAGAGAAAATTAATAGGGATGAAACAAATTCTGACAATTTGTCAGAATTTGTTTTATCACCTGTAAATATACGTCCCGATTTCTCCAATGAAAGTGAATATAATTCTTCAACAAAAGACTCCACATCATCTATATTACAGACAGAGTTATATGAGCAAACGACAAAACGTGTTTCAAATAAAAGTAAGAAAAATATCACATATTTAGAGTCTTCACTCACTGCTTTAAGTAATACACTACAAAATCGTCTTGCAAATCAACCATCGACCTCTGCTGAGCACAATATTTGGAATAACAATTTAACATCAGACATAACTTTTGGAATGATGGTAGCAACTCAATTAAAAGAAATACCGGAACCTGAAAAATCAAAACGAAAGTTGACAATATCAGACATTTTATGGAAACCATTACCATAATTTCATTCCATTGCTATTTTTGTACCTTCTCTATTATATTCTTTACAGTCAATTTAAATATTTAGTTTAATCAATTTCATGTGCAATTTTAATTTTCTGTTTGTACACCCACGGTCATCGATTCTGTCCCTCGGAAATGTTCACAAACTCTAAAGTGATCACTTTTCTACATTAATGCTTATAGTCCATGCACGATTTCGTTTCGTTAATCGTGCATGGACTATGAGTATTAATGTCGAAAAGTGATCACTTCAGAGTTTGTGAAAATTTCCGAGGGACAGAATCGATGACCGTGGGTGTACTTGATCAATAATGTATCAACAATGTTATTGAAAATGTAGATTTTAAGTTTTTTAGTTTTTTTGTAAAAACTGTATATGAAAGATAGATTCTAAGATGTTTCACATGTTACAAATATTTTTCTAACCAGGAGGACCATATGGGATTCATAGTAATGGATTTCTTAGAAATCTTAATCAAATGATTATAATAAAAAAAATATAAAAGAAAAAGAAAGCGATGAATTGTTAATCGATGCAGTAAGAGATAATATCCTCATCTATATAATTCATATTTGAAGGAGTATATAAGA